CAGCCATGCGGTTTTGAGGGCTGGTTCACAAAAGCGGAGGATGATTTTGAGCCCTTGTTTCCATTTTCTCTTGAGGGAGTGGGTGGATGGGGAACCGGAGGGGATTAGCAGGGAGAGAGGCAGAAGAGAGACAAAGGAACTCAAAGAGTACCCCTGCACCCCTTACCCTACCTTTTCTTTTGACTTGAGTGTCCAAACTCATTCCCTGGAGACTCCACTGGCTGAGCGCTAGGCCAGGATGCACAGAACCACAGAACAGTGTAGCCTCTGCCTCCCCTTCTCCCTCCATGACCAACGCACCCGAAACTCTGTCGATTTGATACACACCCCCTTGTCAGCTTAGCTCAGCTCTGTCTCTGCCACCTGAGCCTGTCCCTTTCCTGGATAAGTACAGTGGCCTTCTAATTTCCTCCACACACTCCCCGAGGCCCCTGGTGGTCTGTTCTCCACCTGCTGCCTGAATCATGGTGCAAGAATAAACCAGGTCAGATCATATTAGCAGCCGTGGCCTTACAAGCTAACAGTCATTTCTCATTATTTTGGAGTTGAAGGCCCAGGTCCCTAGTGCCAGATTAGCTTCTTCTGCCCTGGCCAGAACATTTGCATATGCTGGGTCTTAAATCTAGAATAGTCTTTCTTCTTCTTTCCTACAGTTAACTCCCATTCATCCTCCAGGCCATGCTCTGAATGTGAAGGAAATCTACCTTCACCTCCCGGACTACACCAGCCTCTCCCCTGTCCCCTTGCTCTGGCAAATAAAGTGCCTGCCATTTACGATGCCAGTCCCAGCTAGAGTTATACATTTAGTGGTGTGTCCATATGACTTCCGTAGACTGTAAGGTAGGAAGGAGTTTTGTTCTCCTTCACTGCCCTATTGTCGGGAGTCAGCCCTGTGTCTAACACAGCAGGGGCTCAGTGGGGAATGACTGAATGAATTCATAAACAAGAAAAGAATGAGTGGGTGAATGAACGAGTGAATTCAAGCAAGCAGAGAGACCCTAGATCCTAATCCATGTTCTGTCTCCACCAGTTCGGGCCCAGGAGCAGTCAGACTGGCCTTACTCTCTCCAAGGCAGCATCCTCTTTCCCCGCCCTGGGTCCCTATCTTATGACTCACTGCACTCCCAGCATCCAGTTCAATTCCTCCACTCACTCCTTGCAAAACTCAGCGTATGTTAAGTTCCGAGAAACAGATACCAAGAGGGAAGCTAGAAGAAGACGTGGAGCTTTTCTTCAACCCAGATTCAGAATCTGCTCAATTCCACAGGACCCAACAAGTTTCTGGTAGACGGCACTCAAGCAAGAAAACTATATATTCTGGATCTATTTCCAGAAGTAGAACCTAGCCCCCTCATGGTATGTTGTGTGTGAGAGGGCAGAAGATGGGGGGAGGGCACGCAGTAACCTCCAAATGCTGCCAGACCTATTGAACTCACACCTCAGGGCCTCCTGTGAAATCTCCAGGGAATCCACTGGGAAATTCACCAAGCACGCTCGATGGAGTGAGTCCCCAGCTACGCACAGGTACAGCACGGACTAAGTGACATTCCCATACACCCTCCCTCACTCCAGGAGGGTCCATCACCCTCCCTTACAAAGGGGACTTTAAGAACTAACTAAGCCAGAGAAGGGAAGTCAGTTTGGAAGCTTAAAGGACAGTCCTCTGAAGCCTCTGCAGTCTCCGATAGCCAGCCCCTGTGATGTCAGAGACAACAACCAGGGCAGTCCCCACAGTGAGGCAAGAGACTGAGTCTCTTGTTTATGAGTCCTCAGAGCCCTAGAACAGTGCTGAGGGACACACTGGCACATGGCCTGTGCAGTGACACAGTAACCAGACCACATAAGCGACTCCTCCAGCTCGCCCCATAAGCAGCAAAACTGAGGACAAAGAGGGCAATAGACTCATACTGGCAAATAAATAACCTAATAGTGGTGGGCGAGACCAGCAAGAGACCCTGCCTCAAATAACAAACTGGGTGGTGTTCCTGGGGAATGACACTCAAGGTTTCCCTCGGTCCCACACATGCACACGCGTCTGTCTGCAAACCATGCACATGCACTCACACACAGCACACACAATCCTGGTGGTCGTTATTACCGTTTACATAGAACACTCGAGCCCTTTAAATGGTCTCTTCCCAGAACACTGTGTCTTCTCTGAGCACGAGAGATAGCAACAGGGTCTCTAGGTGAGGTCAGGGTGACTGTCCCCCAACTTTAAGTGGCTCAGGGACAAATAGGAGCCAAGAGAAGTCTGATGCCCCCTGCTGTGGTGTGAATCCATTTGGCCATCTTTTAGGATGAGGCCTAACCAAGCTCAAGGCCAAAGCTGCCATGGTCTTGCATCTTGGGAGCAATGGCCTGCTCCTTTAGGCCCAGTGAAACGCCTGGTTTGCAATTGAATTGGCAGTGACTAACGCCGCATAAAAGCTACAGTAAAACAGATCATGGGAAATGTAATGGCCCATGGTTAGCAATCACTGAATTATTTATGCCATTCTTTCCTCTTCAGAACTCTCTCTCTCACACTCTTCCCCCCAGCACTGCAGCCCCTCGGTCTGGCCGTCTGCAGACTGCTGAATAACAGGACCACAAAGAGACAGAGACCCAAGGGCAGGGAGACTGGAGGTTGCTGAGTACCCATGATGGTGGGGGTAGGGGTTGGGGGGAGATGGCTTCATTTTATCAGCTGCCAAATTCAAGGCTCTCTTCCCTGAACTGACAACAACTTAAGTTTGCGTTGCTTTTTTTTTTTGGTTCATTGTGGATCTCCACATCCTGACTCCTGTCAAGTAAGAATGATGCGACCCTCCCTCCCAGGTTCCAGGAAATACACTGGGAGTCAAAATTGTAAATAACGGGAGCCAAAAAAAAATCACATGCATACACATGAGAACAACTTGCTAAATAAAACAGGGAATCCAGCAGGCATTTCTGTAGTGTGGCCCTTCCCGGCATCCCTGACAGCATCAGGGAGAAAATGAAGCCCACCACGGAGGAATGGTACTTGGTCTGTCCTGCAGTATACATTTCTGTCATGCACATTTCTCAGACTCACCTGAGAGTGTGGTTTTCCAAAACCCATAAGTCCTGCTGGCTGATATATGAGTTTCCCACACACTATTTTGAATGGCTATGCAATGGTAGCCAGACCAAGAGATGCTCATAGGACCGGAAGCCACTCTCACATATATCCATGTGCCTCCTCGGGGACAGTTGCATTGTCTTGGAACGGCTCATGACGCAGTGCTCAGTCTCTGCAACTTTGACCCTCATTTCATAATTCAGAAACCTAAATCCTCCTCATACTTCCTCTTAGTAAGCTGCTTTCACTTCCTTTGTTTTAAAAAAAGCAATTTCATATACCATAATTTTGTAATTTCTTACTAGAAATTTTAACGTGTCCTTAAATACCGACATCATTATCACGGTTACATTATTACTATTGTTCTTATTTTATGAATTAATTAAAAGCCTTACTTTTACGTGTACGCATGCATGAGCATGTGGATGTTCATTGCTTGCCTGCAGGTGTCCACTGAGGCAGGAAGAGGGCAACAGATTCCTGGTCCTAAAGTTTAGGATGACTGGGAGGCTCTGATGTGGGGGCTGGGAATCAAATCCGAGCCTTTGGGAGAACAACAGCAAATATTCCTCACCACTGAGCCCTCTCACTAGCCCTTAATGTTTGCTTTTGTTAGTCCTCACTCTAATTGTAATGTTGTATCAGTCCCTAATTCTGTATCTCCATTTAACACACACACACACACACACACATACACACACACTTGCAATCCTCCTGCCTCAGCTTCCCAAGTGCTATGACTTTAGGCATGTGCCATCATGCCTGGCTAGACCTATTACCCTATTATTATTTATAAATGTAAAGTTTGGAGGAATTTAAAGATTTGGGAGAGTTCATAGACCAAAAACTTCTGTATAAACAAACAAACAAACAAACAACCCCCCAAGATGAATGCCAATGTTTTTGAAAGAAAGAGTACTACAGCCCTAAAAACAAAAGCAACTCACAATGTTAGGCAAAAGGAACAAGAAGGTGGTAAAAGATTTTTAGAAAGCTGAGACTGGTGACTCACACCTTTAATCCCAGCACTCAAGAGTCAGAAGCAGGTTGATCTCTAAGTTCCGGGCCAGCCTGGTCTACAGAGTTTCAGGACAGTGAGGGCTACACAGAGAAACTCTGTCTTGAGAGGGAAAAAAAAAAAGAAAAGAAAAAAATGTGAAAGAGATTTTTTTTTAGAAATTAAAATTTTGTTGGCTAAAATGAAATGCATCGTAAAAGACATGGAAGGAAAGGAAGAACCGATCAAGTCGAGGGGGTATCTCAGAATACACAGTAAATGTTGGGGTGGTCTTTTCAAAGAGGGAAGACAAATAAGCAATGAAGTGGGTCTCAGAAAGCCAGTATCAGTACCGAACTGACTGGAGTCTCCTGGGAGAACTGAAGCCTTTGAAGAGGACTTATCAGACAATAGAGAAATGTCCCCTGTGCTGAAGACAGGGAGGGATTTTCCAGTTAAAGGTGACCACTGTATTATCAAACTCTTGGTTTTGCCTATCAGAAACCCAACTGCAAGGGCTCAAAGAAAGAAAGCAATACATTGGTTAATCCAGCTTTGGTCCAGAGACCAACCCTAGAAACCCCCTCTCTCTCCTTCCTTCCCTCCATTCTACTCTTTCTGCCTCCCCTTTCTCTCTTCCCCTTCCCCCTCCTTCTATCTCTCCACCCCTTCTATCTCTCCACCCCTTCCCTCTCTCTTCCTGACTAGCCTGTCCTGTCTCTCCAGGTTAGCCTCCCTAGCAGGCTCTCTGTTAGGATGGCTAAGGCAGTCTCTATGACTTCCAGCTTCACCTCATCCTTGTACCTAGCCTCCCTGAGCCCAGAAGAGGAAGAATATAGTCTTGTTTCTCAGCATTAAGTTCACTGTTCAAAGATGTTCTCTAATTGGTCCCCTTCTGGTCAGCAGTTCCCTCCCTGCACCCTCTCAGGCTGGAGAGATGCAGTATTCTGTGTCTACCCTAGGACAGGGAGAGAGAAAGGACTCCTTAAGACCACAATGAGTATGCTAGTGACTGTTCTTGAGGGGAAAGAAAGCAAGCTAAGGCAAAAAGCAGTAGCTGCTTCCAATTTTCTCTAAATTGAATAGGTATAAAGCAAAGAAGACACACACTTAATGGACCAGGAAGATTCTTGGACTCTACCTAGCAGCAGGAAGTCTTAAAACTCCTCAAGGAAAAAAAATTAGGAGAGCTAAAAAGGAACCACAATCAAAGTAGCCTTTGGGGCCTGGAGAGTTGGCCCACTCAGTAAGGTGCTTACTGGGGAAATTCGATCCTTAGAATCCACATTTTAAAAGCCACACCTAATGATTCCTGCTTGTAATCCCAGCCCTGGAGAGAAGCAGAGGCGAGGATCACTGGGACTTACTAGTCAGTCACTCTAGCAAATCAGCAAACACAGAGCTCATGAGAAATCCTTTTTTCAAAAAAAAAAATGCACTCAGTGATTGTGGAAGACAGCTGACATCGATTTCTGGCTGCCACATGTGTGAACATATATGTGCAGGAACACCGGTGTGAGCATCACTTTGGGTTGGTTGGCTAGTTAAGTTTGGTTTTTCATGACAGGGTTTCTCAGTATAACCCTGCTATCCTGGAACTGGCCCTATAGACCAGGCTGTCCTTGAATTCACAGAGATCCTCCTATCTCTGCCTCCCATGTGCTGAGATTAAAGGAATCCATCACTACTACCCTGTGAGTATCTCTGCATCTCTCTCTCTCTCTCTATCTCTCTGTCACACACACACACGGGGGGGGGGGACTAGCTATTGATTTCATATGCAGTAGAGCTTGCAGGAAGACAGCACAGCAATGTCGACAGTACTTAGCAGAGAAATCACTTAGCATCTCATATTGAAGTACAAGGGCCTATTCTGTTTACCGTGACTGGTTGCTGATTTCTGTATTAATCACTATCGATTGCAAATAGAAGCTTTTCTGATGAGAGCTGAGATATGTTAATCTATGGGCAAAAAAATGACAAGTCACTAGGAGTTGTTTTAATATAGAATAATGACATTAGGGTTTCCCACATGGCCTATGACCTGTCTTGAACTGATAATGGTGCCAGATATGGGTTGCATCCTAAGAAATGGGACTTAGATCAGATCACAGAGTGACTGGTTACTCCCATTCTGTCCATGCCACTATTACACTGGTGAGCATTTCTAGCCAGGACAGTTAATATAGCTCTCAAGGTTCGCTATCAAGAAAGACTTATGCTTGTCCTCTCCTCTGGTAGTGTGTAGAGCATCTTGCAGCACTATGAAGGCTAGCCAGTGGAGACGAAACCTTCAAGAGCGTATCAAGATCGATGACGGCCATGAGTCTGAGGAGAGGTGGGGAAAGGCTATGATCCAAACACATTATGTGAAATATTCAAATAATCATTGTTAAAATGAGACAGTAATAAGGACAAGGGCCTAGTGAAGATGTTTTTAGAAACCCAGGGGCTCAGAGTTACTTGTTCCCACACCCCTACCATGTTGGATATATTTCCTGAAAGAAATCCTTCAGGACATGTACTAACAGGATGCAAAGCAACTCCAGAAAAGAGAAAGTCAAAAACGTTTACAGTTAACCTAAGAGAATAGTGAAGAGGTATGCCAGTAGGACATTGTGTAGACGCCATGGTAGATAGTGCCAGTTAAAGCAAGAGATCATAGGAGCCAATGAAGAAGGAGAAGATAGGGACACCCAAAACCTTGTAAGGAGCTGGTCTGTAAAACCCCCTGAGCATCAAGGAAAGCACAGGTCAGGAAGTCCCTAGAAAAACACTGGACACTCAAGAAAAAAAAGTCACTTTGTGAGGATAAGATGGTTCATAGGATAAAAGCACCCACTGCCAAACCTGACAATCTGAATTTGATCCCTGGGACCCACACAGCAGAGGGACTCTCACAAGTTGTCCTCAGACCTCCACATGTACACGATGGTTGGAGTGTGTGTGTGTGTGTGTGTGTGTGTGTGTGTACGCACATACACACACACACATATACATACACACACAAGTAATCAAGGTATCTACTAGAGCTACTGTTCTAAGCTATGGCAACATTCCTGCCCATGCATTCCACCCACCATGTTGTATGGGGGGGGCAGATGCCTTCTCAGCCCACAGAGCCAATTCCTCAGCCTCAGGTAAACGGGAGAAAACAAAACAGAACTTGGAATTCCCACGGCACCGTTGGGTTTTTATTGAGAACAAGTAGGAAGTGTTTCCTAGGGCTAGGTCGGTTCCTTTTGAAAGTGATTGATACTCCAATATTGTTTCTGATGGATTATCCTGATAGTGGGCTCAACTTGTCATAGTATTTTATTTGGAATATATACAGTCTATCTCTCTGCGTTATGAGTTCTATATCTGAGTATTCAGCTAACCCAAACCCAAAAAGATTCAGAGTAGGGCTGGAGAGATGGCTCAGCAGTTAAGAGTACTGCTGTTCTTGCAGAGCACCTGAGTTCGTGAAGGAGCTAGCCCCCACACCAAGTGTGTTCCTGTAATCCCAGTATTCAGGAGTGGAAGGAAGACATCCAAAAGTCCAAACCATCCTTGCTACATAGCAAAACTGAGGCTATCCTGGGCTATATAGGACTATACATATAGGAGGATATGCATAGACTGTACGTAAAGATAATATCATTTTATATAAAGAACTTAAGCAGCCTTGGATTTTGGTGTCCAAGGGCGTCTCCAAGAAAACTCCATGCAGATAACGAGAAATAAATGCACATAGATAAATTAGTCTCTCTTTTTTTAAAAAAAAAGTTATCATTCATGCCATGTAAAGAATAGTATGCTGAATCTTTTTTTTTTTAAGATTTATTTATTTTACACATATGAGCACACCTCCATTGCTCTCCTCAGATACACCAGGAGAGGGCACCAGACCCCATTACAGATGGTTGTTAGCCACCATGTGGTTGCTGGGAATTGAACTCAGGACCTCTGGAAGAGCAGTTGGTGCTCTTAACCACTGAGCCACCTCTCCAGCCCTCTTTATTTCTTTAGGGGTAAGTTATATTTCATTTTTACGTGAAAGTACTGAGTTCTCCCTTAACTAACAACTTCCTTAATACACACAACATAAAACATCACGACTTTAATGTCTAACTTCCTGCAAAGTTAAAAAAGAAGAAGAAGAAAAAGAAGGAGGAGGAGGAAGAGGAGGAGGAGGAGGAGGAGAAGGAGGGGGAGAGGGAGAGGGAGAGGGAGAGGGAGAGGGAGAGGGAGAAGAAGAAGAAGAAGAAGAAGAAGAAGAAGAAGAAGAAGAAGAAGAAGAAGAAGAAGAAGAAGAAGAAGGAAAGAAAGAAAGAAAGAAAGAAAGAAAGAAAGAAAGAAAGAAAGAAAGAAAAAAAGAAAGAGAGAAGAGAAACTGTACAAAGACTCTTATTTTGAAAAGAGAAATCCAGGTTTGCCTACTCTTCATCTCTGACCTCAGTTTCTTGTTATTCTACTATTGTCCAGGGAAAGCTGAGTGCAGGTACCTTTGTCCTGAACGATCACCTCTAAACAATAGATTTTAAGGACAAGGCAGACGTACCTCTCTGTGATGGTTTTATGAATTTTCTCATTTTTCTACCATAAACCTCTATCATTCTTTCTGTAAGAATGAGAACAGAATGGAGAAAATGAAGGCGTGGCTACCCACACTGCTGTTGACACCACCAGGACGTACGTGTTTTTTAAGTGAGAGGTTTATTTATTTGTATTGTACATGCATGGTGTCTCACCTGCATGTGTGTTGGTGCCCCACATATGTGTCCTCTGCATAGATGATCCCCTGGAGCTGAAGTTCAGACAGTTGGGGACGGCAAATGGGTGCAAGAGCAAGTGTCTTACCCACTGAGCCATCTCTCCGGCCCTTCACTAGTGTATATTTTATAATCAAAACATCAAAAGCTAAGTATTATTATGTGTGTGAATTGGGAAACAGTAAGCATCACTAGAGAACGGAGAACAGGAGCTGATGTCGTAAGGATGAAGAAGACATGGTATTTATTCATTCTCGTTCCAGATTGTACTTCTGCGGTGGTCATATAGTAGTTTTATAATTTAGAACATTTGTATCTGTACATGTATGCATATGTGTTTATATATGTGTATGCTGTGTCTGTGGTATGTGGTGTGTGCATGTATGTATGGTGTGCTATGTGTGTATGTGTATGTGGTGTGTATGTGGTATGTGGTATGTATGTGTATGTAGTATGTGGTGTGTGTATGTAGTATGTGTGTGTATGTGTGTATGTGTGTGTATATGTGGTGAGTGGTATGTGTATGGTGTGTGGTATGTGTTTATGTGGTATGTATGTATGTATGTATGTATATATGTGTGTGTAGCATGTGTGTATATGTGTGTGTATGTGTAGCATGTGTATGTGTGTGCTTGGTAAAATCAACATAAGGTGTATTCCTCTATCATTCTCTAACTTATTTTTTGAGACATGGTGTGCTGGCTAGTTTTATGTCAACTTGACACAAGCTAAAGTCATCTGAGAGGAGGGACCCACAATGAAGAAAATCTCTCGATAAGAACAGCCAGTAGGCAAGCCTATATAGGACATCTTCTTTTTCTTTCTTTTTAAATTATATTTTTCTATTTTTTTTTAAGTTATAATATAATTACATCATTTCCCCTCCCCTAAGCAAAAGAAACTTCTAGAAGGAGAAGTTAAGCTGTGATAGAGAAGACTTCTGGGCTCCGTGTGCTTTGGCATAGTGAACAATGGGAAAAAGACACCAGAGTGGTTGGGGTGTGTACCTATGTATCTGACATAGAGTGGAATCACTGTGGTCCTAAGACGGGCATAGAGGCTGGAGACAGGGAAAGAGAGCCACTACCTAGTCAGACAGGCAGTCAGCGTGGGAGCCCAGGAAGGGGACATCCATCCAGGAGGGTGGATGTTGTAGCGTCTTTTGGGAACTAACCAGGTGGTACCTTCCCTGTCCCCTCAGCTTTTTGGGCCTTCTTGACACAGCAGAGGGTCTATGGCCATTCCCACTCCATGGGCCAAACGTCTTTGTTGCTAGCCCTTG